AGAAAGGGGCCCCATGGAGGCCAGAGCGCACAGCTCGCCAGCACCGCCAGAGGATCCTCTCACCCCAAAACGAGGGCGGGGGGACGCTAAACAGAAGCCAAAAAACAGTCTTAGAGCACTCCAAAGCTCAACACGAAGGTCTCTGGGAAATTTCCAAGTAAAAAGGAGGTATCATTAATTAAAGACGCAGAATGTGAATTCGGACCCCCTACCCCAGCCCAGGAGACTTCAAAATTTATGGTCTTCGTTGCATTCCTGCAACTATTAAACCATCCCCAAGCTCTCTGCATTCAAACTTCAAACGCATGGGCTCACCCCCCAACTCCCCCAAACTCATATAATTCATAACTCTGAACCTGGGTCAACATTCAGATGCTCAAGTCCTGAAAACCCCGTGGCACAGCAAACTAGATAGTCAATAGTCAAAACTAGATAAACCATCAAAAGCCGGGGCATTGGCACCGAGGAAGTCAAGACCACCGTGGTCTATTTGAGACACTGTCTCCAAACCAATTAATTAATTAAATAAGTAAATAATTTGTCTAATAAATAGCCAACTTGCAAACTATCAAACTAAAAAGGTCTTCAGAATAAAAAATATCCTAAATCCTTTAACCTGAAGGTCCTACAAAAACTTCAACATGCCTCCAAAGCCATCCCCCGGTTTCTGGAGTACCTGTCCACTCTCCCTAACTTTCAGGACACTCTCCTCTCAGGCCCCCAATACCTCTTTAACAGCCGCTCTTCAACTTCGTGCCCTCAAGCACTAATGCTTCGCCCAGATACTTTCTCACGACTAAGATTAAGTTTTCCTTGGAAGACTGGGGAGAAGAATTTAGGGTTTTTCTACTGGCTCCGAGAGTAACCGGTCGCCCCCTCTTCACAAAACACTTGGGCCACATCCCACATGGGGGACCCTAATTCCTAATTCCCTTAGAAATATTTCTTAGGACTGTCTTTGGCCCCGCCCAGAATCCAACTCTAAGCTTGATTGGACTGCAACAAAGCAGGCCCCGCCCGTCCCTCCGTGACGTCACAGGGTGGCATCCCTTTCGTAGAACTTTCCCAGCACCTACGGAATGGAAGTCGCTAACCTGTTCTGTTCATTGCCCCCCCGCGCCCCCAAGTTTCGGCCGGACGCCCTCTGGCTGGCTAGAAACCTTGGCATCAGATAAGAAGATGCGGTAAGTGGCTACTCTTAAATGGGACTACAACTCCCAGAAGGCACTGGAGCTTCGCTCTTTCCCTATGACCAGTCCCACAGCATGGGAAAGGTAGCTAAACAGTGATACTCTTCTCTTATGAGGAGAGGCCTGGATCCAAGCATGGTACCCACACGTGTAGTCCTGGCGCTTGAGAGGCTGAAGCGGGAAGAAAGCCACGAATTCCCAGCCAGCCTGGTCTACATAGTGCTTTCTAGGCCAGCCTGGGCTACAGAGACTGTCTCAAAATAAAACAAAACACAAGATAGGTCTGGTGGCCAATACCGAAGTTTCCAGAGACAGGTACTAAGGGAAAATGGACCACAAACCTAGCAGCAAGGGTTGCCAGATCTGAGTATGTACAGTATCCATGAGTCATGAATGTCCCCAGTAGACACACACACACACACACACACTCCCCTCCACTGTGTTGCTCCACATTCACACATGCAGTACACAGTCAGCTCCAAAAACTTCAAATACATGGATTGATTGCCGATGTGGCCCTTTAATTCACAGCTCCTTCTCTCCAGCCTGTAAAAGCTGAGCTGGGAAAAGGTACCCAGAAACTCCCTGAGAATTCGATTAGATTAAATGCTATCTGAGGAAAAGCATCAAGGATATCTATCTGACAGCTCAGTCAAACATCCATTCTCCTTGATCTGAGCCTGTGGTCCTGCAGGGCCTTGAGCTGGGTTCCGGGGTCTGGAACACCTTCTCAAAGCTGGATTCAGTACCTTTGTGAGCCCAGGGACACGCCCTTGTTTTCTGTAGACCTGGCCACTTCCGGAAAGCAGAGCCCAGGTCCCCTATAGCATCAGAGAAGAAACCTCTTTGATCTTAAATTCAGGACTAATCTATTTCTTTAAGTTTTTGGCTCTTTTTTTTTTTTTTTAAGTCCCTGGATTTTTAGGAACCACTCCTGTAAGTGCAGCCCCTCAGCAGTGGCTCTTTCTCTTGTGTCTCCCACATCTTAGCCCATTTACTCTCCCCACCCTAAGTAAAAGTCTTTGTGGTTTCTCTGGGGCCAAGGAGATGGCCAGGATTCAGATCTGCTCAAGTTGTTGCCATCTCTCTAACGCGAAGCTGGCATTTCACAGTTGCATGCACCTTCAGTAAGTTCTTCACTACCTAGAGTGTTGGCAGGGTGCTGCAGGTGCTCGAAGGCACTGGACCAGGCTCTCAGAAACAGCCACCAAGTCCCCTAGAATGACTCCAGGCACCTAGGAGGCCTGCTGGTGAGTCAGGGATTTCTTCACTCATATAATCCAGAAGTTCTAAGAGGGTGATCTGGGTGAGAAGAGGACTGTGGCTCACAGGGCTAACCTGGACTTCCTCAGCCATCAGACAATGATGTTCTGGTGGACTATCAGTAGAACATTCCAGCATTTCCAGAAAGCCCCTCATCTCAATGTCCGGAAATGAGTGCCCACCAGCCCCTGGACTACCACAGACACATTCCAAAGCCACAGGCCTCTAGAGATATGGATGGCTGACTCTAGAGGGTTCAGACCAATCTTAAAAGACCATCTGATTCCCAAGGGTCAACCTGAGCCTGAAGTGGGGACAGGTCTGCGTTAATGCCCACCCACTCGGGCAGGAAGGCAGCCTTAGGCCTGAAGATCTTCAGAAACTCTGAATCTGGCAGGGTGAAGTTGGCAAGGTATACAGTGTCTCCACCAGCTAAGTAGGCAGCCCAGAAGCCAAAGGTGCCAATGGTCATGATGGTGTGGTTACACTGGGTGAGCAGTGCAAAGTCTTTCCCTGGTGTGCTCTCCTGGCCATTGCCAGCGAAGACCACATCACCATGGGATGTGTCGATATTCTCCATACACCATTCCATGCCATTGCTGGTGACCACAAAGATGGGGTCTTTGTGTCGAGCCCGGAACCAGTCCATGGCTTGCTGGAGGTAAACTCGGTCACCCACCACACCCTTCCAGCGATTGGGCATCACCTCGAGGTAGTCTCCACGACGCACATGGACACCCACAAAAGTGTGAGGGCGGATGCTCCAGGGGCCTAGACGGAGCCCACTCAGCAGGTGCTGGGCACCTTCTCGAAGGTGGTCATGCAGGGTGAACTCCTTGCGGATCTGTTCCCGGAGATGGTGGAAAAAGGTCCAAGAGCAAGGGAAACCGGACAGCTTGAGAAAGGGGTCCTGCAGGTGCGAGTACTCCTCTGACATCCAGTCATGTAGCACTAAATGCTGCCAAGGTGTGAGGCTGTCCACCTCAGGGTCCAGCACGGGCAGGGAGATGCGGAACACAGGGGCCAGGGTGGCATGCATCTCAGGCTGAATGAAAGCTGGGCGGCCATTGAGCTGAGCCAAGGCCAGCAATGTGGCATTGGTCCAAGTCCCAGAGAGTGAGGATGACTGTCTGGGACAGGAAGGGGAGGCATTGAAAGTCTGCAATGGGTGGGGCAGGCATACCATGGCCACTGGGGACTTAAGCAGGTGGTAGTCTGGACACAGGATAGAGAGAGTTAGCTCATTTCCAAAGAAGTTTCCTCCATACAGGTGGAAAAAGAAGGAGCCAGTGGAGAGCACACAGACCAGCAGGAAGGCCAGGCAGAGCTGTCTCCGGCTGGGGGTCCACATGGCTGTAGGGGAAAAGATGGATTAGAAGGCACATGGTGTGAGCCCCAGAGTCTGGGACTCCTCCAGCTCTGGGAGCTGCAGTGAGCATCTCCTCAGTCAGAAGCTGAGAACCTAAATCCAGCGTTGTAAAGATTTGAATCTCTAGGGATGGGGTCAGGAGACATGCAAATGAGACAGGAAGCTCAGAGCCTGCTGGGAACCTCACATCCCAACTGCCTTTCAGGTGCACCTGTATGTAGGGGCACTTTCTACCTCCGCAGGCAGTAGCTGGGGACCAGGGGAAGCCCAGGTAAGGAGGAGAACTTTAGAACTGTAAAAGCAAGTCCCTGGGTGTTGTGTAACTTTCCCTGTGAGACAGGAACTTTCCCTGTGAGACATCTGTTTATCCCACATATTAAAGAAACCAAGTCTGCCCGGCTTGGTGAACACAAAAGCTTGGGTGAATCCAAGGCAGCTACATAGCTGAGAAGCCCTCTGCAAGCATCTCCGGAGGAGTCTGTGGACCTTGGAACTTTCTATTAACTGGTTTAGTTTCCAAAGTTCAGGAAACTCGCTGTGGCAGGAGGGAAGGGATTCTTATGGGGAGAGGTTGGGATTGGATTCCAGGTTTTGAGAACGACCGGGATACGGTTAGAGTGGGCTAGATACCCTCTTCATCCCTGGGGGTCTGGCATGCTGGTGCCGCCGACTAACCTGAGTTCCTTGCAGGTGGTATAAACGGATTCTTTTAGTCTGAGCTTCCAATCACAAAATAGAGCCTTCATCGGCCAGGCGTGGAGGTCAGGAGCCCCGGCTCCGCAGCCCTTCCCTCCAGGGTTCCTTCCTACGACTGACTGAGAAGGCTGAGGTCTTGGAGACCCGGAGGGAGAAAGAGAGAAAGGCCCGGTTCCAAGGTGCGCAGCCTCCGCCCTTCGGGCCGGGCAGGTAGCAGGAGGCGGAGCCGCATCCTACCTAGCGCCTCACCCTAGTGTTAGGTGAAAGAGGCACCACGTTCTGTCCGCCTCCAAGGTGGATTGCCGCCGCGCCCCTTGTCCCTTTCTCTCGGATCACTGACGCCACGATGGGCAGCCCAGTTGGTCCCCAGAATTTGCCGCATTCTTTGCATGGACCCCCGCTGCAAGGCTGAACCCGGGAGCTCAGGTCCCATGCACGTTTCCTTCTCCGGTGCCGGGACTTAGCGCCTGCTCCCCTTACCTGGATGCTCTGGGAGTAGCCACGCCCCAGTGGAGCAAGGTCTGGACACCACCCCCTCCTCCAACCCCGCCAGCAGCACCCTCCCAGGAGGATGGAGAACCTGTTTGCCAGCTGCCACAGCCCAGGCACGAGCCTCTGCCTGTCGTACACATCACACAGTCACTGCCCCAAATTCCTCTTTGGAGCTATCCTAAATTCTGGGGTCCAGCTGTTACTTTCTAGACTGTCAGATAGAGCAGGAAAGTTTTTCTGACCAGGAAGATGTGGAAAGAGTTGTCTAATGTTCTTTCTGGGCAGCCTGCTGGTGTGGCTGGGGACAAAGGCCTTAGCTCTCCTGTGTCCTGAGTCTATGATTGGCCAGCGTCGGCCGCCCCACAGCCTCGCCCTTACCTGAGCGTTAACACCCTACAAAGACTCAGGAATTCCACTTGGCTGGCCCAAGATTAGATCATTTCTCCAGGCTACCAAGGCCCAGGCCCGGCCCAGACCTAAAGGTCTATTGTCCAACCTCCTCCCTTAGACTCCCTCAGTCCCAAGGGTCCTGCTCAGGCTTCCTCCTCCTAACCCAGGAATTTGCCCCAGCATGCCTTTGACTGCAAGAACTCATCCAGCTCTTCGCCCTCACGGAGCCTGGCTCAGTGGGAAGGAGCAGGATGATCCTACCCACACCCCAGGGTGTCTGGGGAGCACCAGTGCAGGACAGTCTCTGGTGAAAGAAGTGCCAGGATTGCATCAGTGAGGGCAGCAGATGAGCTGG